GAATTTAATCTTTACAGATGTTAATTTATTAATATCTTTACAAATATATATTTTTATTAATATGAATTTAACTTTTACAGATACTAATTTATTAATATCTTTACAAGTATATATATACATATTTATTAATATGAATTTAACGTTTACAGATGTTAATTTATTAATATCTTTACAAATATATTTTTTTTTACCCAGTGGATTTCACATGAATTTCGTTTCAACATTTGATAAGCAATGTTTTCCTAAGGTATTTATTTTGTGGTTTCTATTTATATTCACTTTTAACGCCACAGAGCAATGATATGTTATTGGCAATTTTGCTACACATCAAGTTTGTTCTGTAATTTGTCTTTAAAATACATTAGCTAAACAAGAATCTGATTGGTTTACCTCTCAAATTGCTTCATTTATATATGATTCAAGACCAAACACAGTCATTAACATAATTTGTTTCATCTAAAAATAAATCTTGATATCATCAGTACAGATCACATCTTAAATTGTATTATTGTTATTACAATTTCTAATTCGTTCAGGTAATCATATATTGTAAAGCTGTCTGATCTACAAATAGCTATTAGAAGTTTATCACTCTCCTCTAAATATGTATTCAGAATCTCTTCAGTTAACGCGTTATTTATTTAACTTTTAAGTTTGTCTTAACATATATCAATATTCCGCAAGAACTGTTTTTTTATATAGACTTTCAGACGTTGTTATATAGATGAATCACATAATGCGGTCACTGAAAGGGGGTACATCACATCTAAATGTATGTATGTCTGTTCGTTTGTTATGAATTTCGCGCAAAGCTATACGAGGGCTATCTGCGCTAGCCGTCCCTAATTTAGCAGTAATAGACTATAGGGAAGGCAGCTAGTCAACACCATCCACCGCCAACTCTTGGACTACTCTTTTTACCAACGAATAGTGGGATTAACCGTCACATTATAACGCCCTAGCGATTATGTTCGGTGTGACAAGGATTCGAACTCCCAGCCCTTAGATTGCGAGTCGAGACCCCTAACCACCAGGCTATGTCAGGTCTATCCTATTTATAATTTCAAAGAACCGGACAAAGCCTTTATGGTGATGGATAATCCTGACTAGTGCAGCGGATCACAGTTTGACAAAATGTCACATTCGATTATATAGTTCAGAAATTTATGCGTTTCAAGATTGACAGAATATCGGGATCAGATATATATAATTTAACCGTGAATCGCCCCCCAGTGGAACAGAGATATGACTGTGGATTTATAACGCTAGAAACCGGGTTTCGATACCCATGGTAGGCAGAGCACAGATAGCCCATTGTGTTGCTTTGTGCTTAAATTCAAACAAATAAATAATTACCGTAAACCTTAAGCGCCATCTTGGATCATCGTGAATAAATAGAACCATAGTTCTACCGAATCAACAAAACCGAGAACCCTAAACGCTATTTTGTGTCATTAAGAGTGAGGAATGCCATACTTCTCTATAAATTACATGCGCAATTTTAAAATGGCTGTAATTAATACGATAATCCTTCACCCTCACCATTTCCGGACAGATCTAACGAGAAGGATCATAAGTTTGAAAAGCTACCTAGGTGGACAAAGTGTGGCTGTAATCAGTTATTAATTACATACACTAAATAATAGCCTGTTAATCCCTTTAATGTTAATTCAGCAACAATTTGTTCTGAAATGTTAGTTTTTGACGTTTTATACCTGTTTAAACTTCAGAACTATTTATTTGACCAAGCAAGACTCAGTATTTTTCGCAGTTGCTACCCTCGAAAATTAAAATTATTCCTGATTTAAATGCGCTGTTTAGATTTTTTCATTAAACAATACATTTTTGTACAAACAACCGAATGGTATGCTACCGTTTACAAAAAGAAAATCTGAAATCCAATAAAAGATAAGTTTTCTATAATTATTTCAAATTCACAAATTTGATTTTGCCCCTCACGATAAGACAAAATGGCCAGAGTAGGTAATGGGTAAAAAGTGGTCAAGTAACACTTTTGCACTTAGCAATACGTGTTTGTTTATAACAAAACCTGTCAACAGATGGCAATAGCTTCTATAAATGCAAATATTTACAGCTAATTCGACGTTTACTGTACTACTTGAAATATTTAATACCTCGTTTGTGGTTATCTATATAGATCATTTTGATATTATGATTGCTTAGTATAGGACGTTTTAGATTTGTTTAAAAAAATCTCGAAAACCGTTGGAAATTGTAAGCTAATCGTTTCTATAGTGTAAACGCTTTTTCCTAGCTGTCGAATCAAAATTATAATTAATTGATTATAATTAATTATGCTTGCCTATTATATTTTTAAATACTGCATTCTTTGTCTAGCTCCTTACTGGTTTTCAAGAATTGGACGAGTGTATAATAATAGCATTCCAATTACGCCATATTCGTTATATCCATTGCCGACGACGCATTTCACTCAATCCAGAGCTCATCAGGTCGGCTGGGAAACAGCAAACACAGTATTAATTGGAACAATTTTTATATTTCACAAATTTATTTTTTCCATAGGATTTACTTTTTGTTTCTACGGCTGGTTTTGGACAGTTGTATGTAGTTGTTTGTGGTTTGTTTTTTTTTGGGGGGGGGGGCTGGATAGATAGTGGAATATAGATTTTTGTTGTTTGAAAACTTCTTAGATTAAGAGTCCAAGTTGTTGAATCGCTTCTTTGATGATGACCTTGATGTCGAGGGTCAGAACATCTTTAAATATTTTTATGTAGTTGTTATTGTTCGAAAACTCAGATTAGTAAGTTTATTTTGGTAAAATCTGCGGGATCTAGATCAAGTTGTCAGAAGTTCATTTTTATTATGAATCACACGAGAAGTTTCAGATCAATTTAAAAATCAAATACCCTCGATCTGCATGTCTCCAAACGTCCAAACCTTCTCTAAAATGCCAGACATAAATGTAAAAAAAAAAGTTTAATTCACATCTGAGGTTATACTGGCGAGAAAAAAGTTATCTATCTATTCATATGTATATCAAGTATACATTTTTTGTGTCTCTCTAGTGTCACAAGTTGTCGTGAGGAGCTGGTTGAAACAATATTGATGAAATGTGGCTGAGTGTAAATGGATAAACAATGACAGAATAGTTCGAGTTTGGCTGCGTTTTAAATTTTACCGTCTTAGTGCTCCGAATGATAGTTTAACTGAGTTAGATGGTCAGTAGCAAAATATGTGAAGCCGACATTAAATGAAAGGTATTTTTAATGCTGTGCGTAGCACGGGTACCTATTCCTCGAACGTGGAGGACGACAGCCCTCGTCTCCAATTAATATCACTACTTTTTAAAGCCCGCCATTGGTGGGTATCTTTACCTTTGCTAGTACGATTATACTCGTTTACCAAAAATTCTGAATACTCGGACATTGGAATAAACTGGAGTGAAATGATAGGATTAAAATTGTATATAAATAATACACTTGCGTTTGTTTGTCCAGAACTTTTCTCACAAATTTCTTTATCAAACGCTATAAATATCTTATCATTAGAATGGCCTTTCTCCAAAGAGTCTAGGCCCGGTATGGCCAGGTGGTTAGGGTACTCGACTCGCAATCTGCGGGTCGCGGGTTCGAATCCCCGTCACACCAAACATGCTCGCCCTTTCAGCCGTGGGGGCGTTATAATGTGACGGTCAGTCCCACTATTCGTTGGTAAAAGAATAGCCCAAGAGTTGGCGGTGGGTGGTGATGACTAGCTGCCTTCCCTCTAGTCTTACACTGCTAAATTAGGGACGGCTAGCGCACATAGCCCTCGTGTAGCTTTGCGCGAAATTACAAACAAAAACAAAACCAAAGAGTCAACGTTACATATTGACTTTTCCATTCAGATTTACCTTACCTGTTTTTTTCTTTTTCAAACTTTTTAATGCAACGAGTATGCTACACCATGGCACAATGTCGTTGTCATCACGTGACGACTAGCTTTGATTTCAACTTTAGTTTTATATATTTGCCAAGTATTTTACATAAACAACACTTCGTCTGCGTGTTATTTCCTTTTAAAATGAACTTTACACTAAATATAATTGTTATGGACTTTTTCGACTTATTTAGGTCTAAAATACGCGTGCGCATTTCGTTCAAAACCATATGCTTATCATTTTGTGAACATGTATTCAGATGTTTCTACATATTCAGCTAAGTTTGCCTTCATTACAACTTTACATTTATTTTACTTTGCAATAATTTAGCTCCAGTTCGTTTCATAGACCGCTATAAATAACTTTTAGCTAATTTTTGTCTTTAGTACAGGTTTTATTCTTCGTTTTTGTGAGTTTCTTTGTTTCAACTCGTAAAACTGTGTCAAACAATACAATACTCTGTACATTACTATAAGTACCATTATTTTACTATATTGTTCACTTTACGTGTAGTTTTATTTACGTCTACGTGAGAGTTTGTTTGTTGGACCGCATAAAATTTTCCCAAACAGATCAGAATTTATCGATCTAACACATAATGCCTGCAAGAAAATGTAGCTTAGATGCCGAGCGTGAAAATGATAGAATAAGGAAAATTCAAGTGAACGGCATATAAACTACCGCAAATGGTTTGTGGGACGCGGCTAGTCTTTGTACTACTTTCTTAAAAGTTAATTATTGTTACTCGAGAATTTTTTGTAGCGAAATTTGAAGTAATTACTTTTATTTGTCTGTCAAAGCTTACCATGGGGACGACTATTCCTGAACACTAGGGGTCTCTGTCCTGGTCGTTTAGAAAAACAAAGTGCCGTTCTGGTTGAAAATGCCAGTTCGGTTACACAGTTTTCTGATCCTTAACATTGCAGGTTTATTCTCTTTCATGCTATTCAACTTTTCTTTTTTAAGTGATTTATGTGCAGAACATTTTAATAACCAATATGAATGCTGAACACAAGGACTTAGATCATTCATATGACAAGGAAGAGAAACATGACAATTTCTGGATTCGGATCTTGTAGTAAAATCATGTTATTTCAAGTACAGTTTATCAATTACATTTTTATTTGTCTTTATTACAGAGACAGAGAAACTTTGTTTTAACTCTCGAGGTAAGTAACATAAACGTGAAAGAAAAGATTAGAAAAAGGAACATTGAATACTTGGAAATAATTCGTGGACTGTTTGAAACACAGCGGTCCATCTTTTTAGTTTCTTTAATACGATAGAACTTTTCTTAACATTCCAGAAATGTTTGCTTGTTCAGAATGATATGAAGATTTAAGCTCATGAAAGGCCTACAAACAAATAATGGTGCTGTAGGTTTTATTCATGACTATTATGATGATGAGATGAATCCTGAACCTTTTCGATTATACAGCACGATATTCGAGTTCCAGCATTCCCATTTGAAAGACTGGCTGGGATGTGTGGATTGGTTCCAAAGTCATCTGGATCAGCATGGATCTAATCAAGAAATCAAATCAATGATTTTTTTTTCATATTTAATGTGAGTAAACACAAAATACAAAGAAATATATATAAATAAAAACTACTTTAAAAAACAGTCTTTTGATTATCATACGAGTGTAATGAAGTAAGTTTATCGTATAAATATTTAAAAGTTCATATCCAGTCGGAGGTAAAAAGAAAAAACCTGAAATTACGGCGATCCAAGGCTAGGTTTTGTGGAAATCAAACACAGTATTTTTAACAAAACAAATGAACAAAATGCACCAAAAAAATGGCTAATTGTAAGTAGATGTTTTAATGTTCACAACAATGTTAATTTTTAAGCTTGTTTTGTTCGGTTAAAGTTTAAAATCGCTAGAGGAAAGGGCGTCCTAGCATGAAACATTGTGAACATTAAAAACATCGATTTTATCATTAACATTTTTATGCATTTTTTTCTCCTACCTTTTCTTTTCGACTTAATCGTCTACACCGGTCTTAAGCTGATTTTTCCGGGTATTTAAATATCCGAAATGTAAGATAATAGCATTTTAACAATAAATGATTATTAACGAAATAGCTACTTATTAGTAATTAAACTTTGGTGATCGTATAGGCTATTAATCATGACAACAACTGATTTTCGACCCCAAATACTTAACATACCTTTAAATCTAGCAAACCATAGGCTTAACAGAAATGTTTAATTTCATGTACAAGTCCTGAATAATCGAAACTTACCACAAGGGGTCTCCCTATGATAGAATGAGGTCCCATTAGAGAGACGACTAAGTCAGTGCATATAGGCTAACAGAAATGTTTAATTTCATGTACAAGACCTGAATAATCGAAACTTACCACAAGGGGTCTCCCTATGATAGAATGAGGACCCATTAGAGAGGCGACTGAGTCAGTGAATATCATGTTCGTCACGCCATGCCTGTTGCAAGCAATGTTTCCTAAGTCTCCCACGTGTCTGCCAAAAAACAAAACAAAAAACAAATTTCATTTCGGCATGATACTACAAACAATTTGTATGGTTAAAAATAATGCCAATGTTTACATAGCAGAAATCTAACCACATATGAAACGCCAGATATCGATCAAATTGATAACATTAGTGGTTTTATCAACATTGCTGCGTCATCGAGATCATGTGATTCTCACGCTCTCTACTTTCTAGAATTATCCTGTACTTTGGCGAATGTTCTAGTTCTTACTAGATATAGGGTA